GCTTATCCATTATCAGCTGCACGTCACATTATAAATGCAACAATGCATGTAAATATATTTGTTAAATATATATATATATATATATGTGTGTGTGTGTGTATGTGTGTGTATCTATAGACATGTTGTCTGGCCTCTCGAGAGGCCATTGCATTTTATCGCTGCGCCCAGCGCTGATTAAATATCAACGTAATTTATTATTCAAATTAAGTTTATCGTCGAACAAAGGCGCGCAAATGCATTCAGCGCTTGGCTTCAATTTCCCCTGTTTGTTTTATTGATGGGCGTGGCGGGCTCAAAGCGAGGGGCGGCCAATACAATAAATTTGATGGCCCATACAAGTGTGTGTGTACTTGTGTGTATGAGCGTGACATATCACTAACACTAAAGCATAAGCAAATTAGCCCAACACACACACGCACACACGCACACACAGGCGCAGAGCTTGCATTGCGTGCTATCAAAAATACATTTGTAATTAGATATGCAACCTGTTTGCCACAAAACAAAACTCTCAAAATACCTTTCTTGGCATTTGAAATATTTAGAAATGTTTTACTGTGCGTTATTTGAATACATTTTGGCGGTAATTTGCCTCTAAATTATTTTCTATAGCTGAAATACAAAATCGATGTGCTTCATGTTAATTTAAGTATTTTAAAAAATTATTAAACATTTTTACTACAATTTTGGAATGTAATGTTATTCAGCACTTATATTATGAAACTGCTAGGCGAGCATTGTTTTAAATATTAATGAATATTATTAACAACATTAATGTTGCAAGATTTGTATGCCAAATTGATTTTGAGGCCAGATTATGAACAAAGAGCGAAAACTTGTGAAAATCGAATGAGATTTGACCCAGTTACGGGGTGGTCCATGTAGGATATTTGAGGGTAACATTTTTACAAGAATTTTGACCAAGAAAATTGTTGTCAGATGTAGATGACAAATTGATCTAGATGCGAAACTGTGAACAAAGATCCAATATTGATATCTTATATATTCTGAGATGTTTTGATTTTGAATTACAGTTTGAGAATTACTTACCAAATATTCAAGAAAGGCACTCTTAAGATTGTTAAATATAATTTACAGTTTTGGAGCTACTGACCAAATGTTCTTGCTGAACAAGTCAATATATATTAACAGTCAATGAAATATATATTTACGACACGTTTACTTCGGAAATGGGATTAAATTTATATCGCTTATAGTTTGAAGGCCACTTTCTACTGACTACAGTTTTAGAGTCACTTATCAAATAATAAAAAAAATCACTTGTGAAGAGTTTAATAACTATTGAAATGTACGCCAAATTTTACCTTCGCAAATCGAATATAAATTTAATATCTCCTACAGTTTTGAAGCCATTGATTTGTAACTACAGTTTGAGAACCACTCAGTACACAATACAAAAAATCACTCTTGAAACTGTTTAAGATATGTTGTAGGCATGCATTATGCCTACTCATGCAAGTAGAATTAATTTGTTATCTTCTACAGTTTGAAAGGAATTGATTTAGGCATGCAGTTTTAGAGTCACATGCCAAATAACAAAATATATCCCATAGCTCGAATATTTATTAGACTAATTTATTACTGCAAATGAGAGTTGACTTTATCCAACTCTCTTTAAAGCCACTTTCAATCAAATTTGTAATTCCTAAATGAGCCAGAATTGATAAATTGTTTTTGAAAAAAATGTGAAACGCAAAAAGTTTTCGCTTTGAGCCCATTCAGATTTCATGGCCCGATTTCAAATTGAATGGCATTATTCATAATACTTGCAGGTAATGCGTATACAAATATGATTTTGCGCTATGCGAGCGGTTAGCTTCAATGGACAATATTATATCATTTTTATATTGTGAGTGTGTGTTTTTTTTTTCAAAAATGCCAAATAAATTGTTATATAATATTATAATCCGGGGCTTTATGCGCTTTGCAGGGGGCATTACAGCTCATTCATTGGGCAAACAACTTGTTTAATATTCAATTATAAATTCATAAACTCTCGTCTATATGCTGCATGGCCCGGCATTTGTGGCCGGCCACGCCCCCTTTGTTATACGATTGCTTTGTGCCGCACAAAGGAGTTAACTTTTCGTCAGGTGTGGCAGCAGAGGGGGGGCGGGGCTCTGTGGCTCGTTTTGATGGACATTTTGGTAGCTTTGGCAGATTTGCGGCCCGCTCGAAACGTGTTCAATAATTTTGTCAATAATTTTTGTCACGCTTGCGCCCCAACACGCCCCGTGTTGCATGCCACAAAATAAAAAATATTGCCGCCCACGTATTTTGTGTCCCTCTCTTGCTCTCGATATTTGCTTTTGTTCCCACAAATCGAGTAATCAATGTGGTTGTCGCTGCCAGGGCATAAGTTTTGTTCGGGCCGAGTTTGGCCTTTTTTCTTTTCTTTTCCGTTTTTTTTTTTTATTTTCTTGGTTCTGTCCTGGCCCCAGGCACATTAAACTCATTGTGTTTATGGCATAAATTTGCATGTTTTCCACGTAAATTTTTCAATTTGAATAGACGAACGCGCGCACTCGTCGAATACACGTCAAAAACGTGGTCTACGCCTGGCAGGAAGAATGGCCTTTTCAGGTCCTTGCCCTGCCCAATGTACTTTGGGGTAGAGTATTAATGACATCAGTTTGACTTTGTGGAGAATAAAAAGAAATTTTCTGAACAGGTATATTAGATATGTCTGTTGGCTTGGTTTAAGATTCGAACACATGTCTCGCCATTGGGCAAAGGATCTCCATCCTTTTCATTCTCCAGATGGAAGATTCACCTTGAAGATTGCTGGTGAGCCTGTTAGCGTGTCTGGCTAGCCAATTGTTCTAATTGTTTTGGGCGTAATAGGTTGAAATGTGATCTTCGATTCAAGTCTCTGGCCAGATCACAGTTGCCCACCTAGTACGGCTCCTGCCAAATATTATTAAAAATCGAAGCTGAATAGTGTGCATAATTTTATAAAATATGTTTGTAGCAGGCCTGATCAAAAAAGTCAAGCATTCTCTCATTTATAGAGTATTCGCTGCCTCTATAGACTCTGCTTATGTCGTCTATTCGTTTTTATTTATATTTATCGCTCGGGCTGGCTCGAAACATCAACTGCCATACACACACACACGCACACACACGCACACACACAACGCACCCACTCACACACATATTTGCAGTTCTTTTTATTTGGTTAACAATGTGCCTGGGCTAAGCTTCGGTTTTATTGCTATATGAGTGGGTTTGACCAGTGCCCACGTGTGTGTGTCTGCGCGTGTGTGTGCGAGTGTGTTTATAAGTGTCAAAGGCATGTGTTTAGCATGCCTCATTTGAGCGCAAATACACCTGCAGCCATCAATTATGCAAAGAGCAGCTACGTCCCCCGCCAGACTAGGCCTGGAACTGGGTCTGGACTCGTGAACTCGTCTGGCTGTGGGCTAGTCCTGGCGCCGGCAAAACAGCAGGCGCCGTCAACGCCGGCCACGCCCGCTTTTTCCGCCTCGAATGCCTCTCGGCTATGCGAGTCATTCAGTTAGGCAGGGAGCTGGCTAAATTAATTTATTGGCCTTCTCACATACTACACCAAATAACTGCAGTTTGCATAATCATGACAGCACATACACAGGCACAGGCACAGGCACAGCTTATAGAATATTTATTCAAACTGCAAGTTGGTTGGCAACACTGCAGTCGCAGCCCTGGGCAAGGCCCCAGCTGTCAGAATATTTGTGGGTGAGGGGCGTGCGGGGTGGTCAATTGGTTTGCCTGCCCTGGCAAAAGCTTCATAATAAGCAACGGTACAGAGAGCTAGAGAGTGTGAGACAGAGAGAGAGAGAGGAAGAGCAAAAAGTTGTCATTATTAGTGCGTTACGTGACGGAGTAAGCCAGACAAATTAATATTAATATTGGTCAGCTCTATGCACTGCACATTTGTACAAAATATAATTTGCAATAATATTAATAGAAATATGTGTGGGCCATGGCAGAACTGAGTAAATTTATCATCAATAAATTTCCATAGACATAACTCATCAACTTATGCTCTCTTATGCGTATACATATATACAAAGCATGCCTGGGCTTGCAATTACAGTCAAAGAATGTCTCAAGCAAGCGAGTGCATTATGTACATATGTATGAGCAAGCGAGCCAGCACGATCGAGTGTGCCAGGCAATACGTGTGTGAGAGTGAGGACAAGAGTCAATCAAATGCCTGAGCTCATGGCGTTAGTATGAGTGTGTGTATGTGTCATGCTTAAACGCAGTAATAAGGGCAGATCAGCAGCTTCTGACGGCAGCGCAATGCAGTGAGTCTTCACGATTGAAAGAAGAAGAGGCTGCGCTACAACTAGAGCAGCGCATTGAAGTTGAGTTTCAGTTGAAGCTGCGAAGCGGAACGGTGTGGTTTAAGTGATTAGTTTATTTTTTACTTTTTTTTTTGTGAGTGTGTAACCAGAGATAAGTTGCGAAAGCTTTTGCAATAAAAGCTTTTAGTGCAAATGACGCTGCCAAACGATTTTGAGCTTTGATTCAAGCGGTGTTTGTATTGTGAGAGCAGGTGTAGTACGCTAAACGGCAGATCTGCAGTGAAAAGCTCTTGCAAGAAGAAGAACGTGGGAACTCGGTGAGTGCAATAATTTATTTTGTGTACATATATATTTTAGTTGGGCTCATAGTTGATATACTACATATAATAGTCTTAAGTGACAAATCAAGTGACCAACTCGGCATACCCTACGAAACTATTCTAGTCTCGTAAGGCTCCCCAAAAGGGCGTTTAATACTGAATATTAATTACACTCACAAGCTCTGACACGCCCACTGCTAAACGTTGCCTAATTGCGGGTTACAAGTTTTTGGGCTTGGGAAAAAACTTAGTGAGCTCCGAGCACGGATTACGCCCAGCTCATCAATTATGAGCGCCTCGGCTGGCGGGCGTATAAAAGCAAAGGATTGAGCCCCTTGGAGCAACATAATCAATAGCTGCCGCTCAGATGTGGCCGCGATTCCTGAGCAGCTCGTCTCCCATGGAGCGGCATTATTTTCTGGTGCCCAAGTTTGCGCTGAGTCTGATCGGTTTCTATCCGGAGCAGAAGCGCACCTGGGCGTTGCGTGCTTGGAGCTTCTTAAACTTCTTTATCCTCAGCTATGGCTGCTATGCGGAGGCAGCGTTTGGCATACAACAGATACCCAATAACATAGCCCTCGCCATGGATGCACTGTGTCCGGTTGCCTCGAGTATATTGTCGCTGCTCAAGATGTTGGCCATTTGGTGGTACCGTGAGGAGTTCAAGTGGCTCATTCAACGGATTAGAAAGCTGACGGAACAGCAGCAATCGGCGCGAAAATTGGGCTACAAGCGACATTGCTATACACTGGCCACCCGGTTGACGACGTTACTCCTTTTCTGCGGTTTCTGCACCAGCACCTCCTATTCAGTGCGGCATCTACTGGATAATATACTAAGGCACTCGCATGGCAAGGATTGGGTCTATGAGACGCCGTTTAAAATGATGTGAGTGTTGGTAAAAGGTCTAAGTCTAGGTCTAGGTCTAGGTCTGGGTCTGGGTCTGGGTCTGGGTCTGGGTCTGGGTCTGGGTCTGGGTCTGGGTCTGGGTCTGGGTCTGGGTCTGGGTCTGGGTCTGGGTCTGGGTCTGGGTCCGGGTCTAGGTCTAGGTCTAGGTCTAGGTCTAGGTCTAGGTCTAGGTCTAGGTCTAGGTATAGGTCTAGGTCAAGCACTCTTCTGTTGCTTTTGTAGTTTTCCCGATCCGCTGTTGCGTCTGCCGCTCTATCCGGTGACCTACGCGCTGGTGCATTGGCATGGCTACATCACCGTCGTATGCTTTGTGGGCGCCGATGGTTTCTTTCTGGGTTTCTGCTTGTATCTGACTGTGCTTCTTCATGCCCTGCGCGATGATGTCTGCGAGTTGCTGGCTGTAGACAGCATCCACCTGGTGCCCACGGCACTGGAGGAGGCGCGCATTGTGCGCAAGATGGAGCGGCTTGTCGATCGTCACAACGAGATCGCCGACTTGACGGAGCGTCTGTCGGGCGTCATGGTGGAGATTACGCTGGGACACTTTGTCACCTCCAGTCTGATTATAGGCAGCAGTGTGGTCGATATGCTGCTGGTGAGCGCTTGACAACTTCTCTCGCTCTCTCCAACTCAATTCGCGTTCTCTCTTTCTATTTCTCTCTCTTCTCGCTGGATCAGTTCTCTGGCGTTGGCATTGTTGTCTACGTGGTCTACACCTGCGCTGTATTCACGGAAATCCTCTTGTACTGCCTGGGCGGCACCTATGTTACGGAGGCGGTGCGTATTCACGCTCTATTTGATAACTCTTTCTTATTATTCCGCTGTCTTCGGCCTGTTTCTCTAGTGCTCCGATCTGGCGAGGAGCGCCTTTGCCAGCCATTGGTATGGCCATAGCGTTCGGGTGCAGAAGATGACGTTGCTTCTGATCGCCAGAGCTCAGCGTGTGCTCATTATCAAGATACCCTTCTTTTCGCCATCCCTGGAGACGCTCACATCGGTAGGCGTTGGAGACGTACTCCATAAATCTGGCTATGTTTTCTTATATGCATACTTTCTTCCTATTCGACAGATTCTGCGTTTTACGGGCTCGCTTATTGCGCTGGCCAAGTCGGTTATTTAGACTCCGATCTTAATCACTTCTGAGCATAAATAAATGTAAAAAACAAAAGGCATATGTTTCTATAAAAGTTCTACTTAGATAAACGTTATTGGAATATATTTTTTTAATTTTTTATTATCATTGTGTGTGTGAAAGAAAAATCGATTTATTGAACTGTAAATCTCGATATGCAATGTTATCGATATCTTTGGCACTTTGTCGATACGTTTTGTTCTTCCTTTAAGTTGTAATGTTCTTTATTTGTAATCTTTCCCCCTTTATCTCTCGGATTTTTTCTCTCTATGAATTTAATATTTTCGCCTTTGCCAATATCATTTTCATGTTGTTCATTTCTGACATTTCGTTAATTGCACATGCACAATCTTTTCTGCTGATGTCTCTTGTGCTCTGCTTTTTCGCTGCTCTTCCTTTTCTTTTGTTTATTATCACGTTGCTTTCCATTGACCTTCCTGTTGTTCTTGTTGTTGGCTCTCTGCTTAACAGCTCTGGCAAATTGGTTTCTTTTACCGGGAACACATCATCAACATGCTGGCTGACACGTTGCCACGCACCGCATCACCGATCCCCTCTTCTCTTTCCCATTCCCCCCTCTTTTGTATGCATCGAACTGTGCATTTGTGCTGCATACTTTTGAGCTGCATAAGCAACTGCTGCTGCTTCTTCTTTATCTTCCGCCTGCTGCAGTTCATTTTCATGCACTCACGCACTCACACACACGCACACACACACAAGCACACACACACAAACAAACGCACGCCCGAACAGACACAGACAGAGAGACACACACACGCACACTTTAATGACATCCGTTTGAAACCGGCGCTTGCTTGTCCCTCTTCATATCCGTGTGTTGCACTTGTTATACCCTGTTCATAAAGTAAAAAGGGAGCATATTGGTGCTGTGCAATGTCGCTTTGTACATTAATGCCGGATATAAAAGTGTGAAGCACCCTTTTAAATGAATATGAATTAAGTTTTCTGAAAATGATTTCCAGTCGATGGTCAATAAAATAGTTACATATTATGTACAAACGTTTTTTACTTGCGGTTAGTCAGTCATCAGTCAGTCAATCAGTCAAGCAGTCAATCAGTCAGTCAGTCACTCAGTATGCACGGTTTTATGCCTACATATTAAGAGTTTTCCTAAAAATAAACATACGATTTACTTGATCTGGTAGAATAATCTATATAGAAGATTTTTCCCAAAAATTACATTAAATATTTATTGATTTAATTATATGAGACCAAGGTAAGCTGAAGTTAATTTTTGAGAAAAATATATGTATAGTGAAAGATAATTATGTTAAATCAAGTTAATTTTAATATCATTTTAAAGTTAGCTCAACAAAAATGCGGGCAATATTTATTCAAATGAAACAAATTATATATTAAGTTAATTTCTAAGAAATCCATCTAAAATGTAGACATTATTTTTCTTTTTTTCTTTTTTGGAATTTGATAATATTAATAGACATATGTCACTTAAGCCTCAAGCTTAAGTAATATAAACCATAGTTAAAAGTCACAGAGTAACAGTTAATGCGTCAGAGTCACAGTTTGCGAGTAACTTTAGTCAAAAAGCGTCCAATTAGTTTAGTTTTTTTTTAACAATTTGAATTGCACTGCAATTACAGCGTATTGAGCAGTCGACGCAGCCGCCGACTGCAACTTATTCACTTTTAATATTTGCTCTTTATGTTGTTGTTGTTGTTGTTGTTGTTGCTCGCCTTCTCGTAAGCCGAGCTCCTCTTAACTGTGGCTCCTCGCGCTGTGCTTTTCGGGGGCATTGTTCATGCACAAATTCTTTTGCTTAATGTTGTAGTCCTTGAAATCCTTTAGCCCACACGCATCAGGGCAGCGCGCGCGCACCTATCAGCCGCACAATCTCTGGCACTCGCACCCGCTCCCTCTCTCGCTCGCTCTCTGTCGCTCTCGCTGCTGCCCCTCTGTCGCTGTCTCTGTCATTTGTCTGCCTTTGTTTCGTTTGCCATTTGTTTGTTTATTTTCGCTGGCGCCTCCTTTTGTCAAAAGTGCTTTTGCTTGTAATGTGTTCGACATTGGACCGCAAAAGCAGCCCCATCCCCCTTCCCCCCCTCCCGCCCCTACTCTTGGACCCTAGCATTTCTCTTGGCCCACTTGCTGCTGCAGTCCTTTACGTTGTTCGTTTTCTGTTTCTGTTCATTTTCTTTTCTTGTTGCTTGTTATTTTTATTTTTCTTTTTTTTTTATTTCGTTTCATTCAGTTCTCGCTCTGCCACTCGCCCGCCTCTTGGACTGCTTCACATATTTTTATGTGCATTTATTTTGCCATTTTGTATGCTACTGCTCATGTGTGTGTGCGTGCGTGTGTGTGCGTGTATATTTGGCTGCTGAACTCTTAGACACACACACACACACACACACACGCACTCACAGTCACTCGCTCCATTCGCAATTTTTGCACTCAAGTTTACCTACTTTTTATGGTAAACAACCCAAGGTTGCTTGTTTATTCTAGCAAAAATGTATTTAGGTGCGCTTAACTACATGTGTGTGCGTGTGTGTGTGTGTGTGTGTGTGTGTGTGTGTGTGTGTGCGTGTGTGAGTGTGAAACGGGTTAGGGTTAGCTTAACCACTTGCCCTTAGTGCGACGACATTAAACCGTAAAATAGAATGCCCAAATAAATAAAATAAATACTCAATTCGTTCGATTAATGTTTGCATACACTGTGTGAAATCTGTTCAAATATCTTTACAATTTTTCCATATATTTCTTATACCCTGAACCCATTAAAAATGGGTATAAGGGTATATTGTATTTGTGCGAAATCCAAATGTATGTAACAGAAGGAAGCATCTCCGACCCCATAAAGTATATATATTCTTGATCAGCATCAATAGCCGAGTCGATCTAGCCATGTCCGTCCGTCCGTATGTATGAACGCAAGGATATCAGAACCTATAAGAGACTTGAAATTTTAGATGTAGATGCTCCTAGTTCCCGCGCAGATCGAGTTTGTTTCCGATAATCGATAACTTCCTCCGTTTCCAAGCAATCGATAAAAATCGATATCGATATCCTGTTTTTTGGGAAATTTTGGTAAATAATAAGAGCTAGAGTCACCAAATTTGACATATAGCTTCTAAAATAGAATATATATATATATAATAGAATATATTCAGGGTATCCCCCAGTCGGGAGCTCCCGACTAGAACCTCTTACTTGTTTTTTTGATTAAAAAGTTAAATTTAGCACACAGCTTCCCGCACATCAACACACGCAGACGCGCACAACACAGCTGTGCATAATTAAATGTTAATGCAAGTAAAAAGTTAAATAAAACAAACTGATTTAAATTGACACAAAAAACTGTCGCTTACTGAACTGCAAATACCCTGTAAGACAGAAAAACTTTAAAGCTGTTCTCGAAAGTTTTAGCTTGTAAGGTTCATGAAACCCTAGTAAATACCCTTGCCCAGAATTTATAAATAAAGATAGTTTAGTCAAAGTTTAAGCTTTTTAGTAATTCGTCAAATCAAGAACTCTTGAAAATTCCAGTCAAGTCTTTCCGTTCAATTAAGGCCTTTTGGCCTTCAAAATTATGTATGTAATTGCTAACTATAAAAGATTTAATCTCTTGCATTTTAATGACCCAAAGAGTCAGTAATAAATAATATGAAAAATTTTATGCCGGCAATAAAAATATAAAAATATCATGCTTGTGGCAAAAGTTCTTAATTTGTGCAACATAAAAATCAAAGACCCGTCCCCAAAGAGCTTACGCTACGTTGTGTTACGTTACGTTACGTTGTGTTTTATGACGTAAAGTGCCATCAACGTGGGTGGTGGCAACAAAAATGTTAAATGTCATTTTTACCTACACGACTAATTAAATATTCGCATTTTATGAGCAGCACAAGAGAACGGTGAGGGGGTGCGTGGAGGGGGAGGGGGGGGGTCCACGTTTGGGTGAGTGAAATGTAAATAAAAACAGGAAACGAGCGACGAATTAACGAAAACAAACACGAGCAGCTGTAAAATTGCGACCGGACGAAACGAAACGAGACGACGAGGCAAGAAAGGGAAACGAGGGGACGAGAGGGGCGCAACGAGTGGAATGGAACGAGTGCGACGCAACGCTGCGGCAGCCTGAGCAAAATTTTAAGCAGACACCAAAAGTCCTTAGACAGTTTTTGTTGTTGTTGTTTTTGTTGGAAGCGAGAGATACGTGCGTGGCGCTATTTCTGGGGGAAGGGGCGGGGTGTGGCCGTGTCAACGATCCATTAAAATTCCGTGGGGGCCATTGCAAAATAAATCCACTTGCAAGTGGTGCAAAAAAAAAAAAATACAAAAAATATCCAAAACCAAAAAGGAAACAAAAACTCAAAAAAAAAAAAAGAAATGTTAAGAAAAAACTCTTCATCGTCAGCATTTTGGCGTCAAATGCCAATCGCATGTGATTCCTAGTTACCAGCAGCCCCTTTACCGCTCCCCCCCTCCCCCTACACACACACACACACCCACCGTGTGATATGCGCAATGGCAAACGAATGTATTTTCGTCTATTTTTATTTGTATATTTTTTTTTATCTCTTCTCTGATGTTCGGCCTAAAAGTATGCATTGAAATTCAACACGCGCCGTGGGAGATGTTGCCAGTGTGTGAGATTCTTGGCTCGCGGGTGTCTGTCTGCCTGTCTGTGTGTGTGTGGGTGTGTGTGTGCCTGTGTGTCAGCTTGTGTGTTAAGAGCCGCTTAAAATTAGCGTACGATCTTTGACTGCTTAAAGCGATACACGCCTGGCGAATCAGCGAGGTCATGAATAACAAAATGTGAAAATAATTGATGGCTAAAAAGGAAACAAAGAGCTAGAGAACGATGTATCTTTATGTTTGCAGTGTTAAATCAATTAAGAGTTAACACGATTATATATATTCTCTTGTGCAATACAATCGATTAAATTATCGATAGTATCCACGCTGAGCTCTTATCGATTACTCTTGCTGCCATCGATAGTTTTTTCTTACTTTCCTGCACATC